GATCCAGAACCATTGGTATCTAAAACTAGAGTTACTGTGAGTAATGAGTTCACTAAATGATAACCCCCGCCTCCCATATGAATATAATGGCAGTGTCCATGTTTTGCTCTGGAAAATCAAAAATATATGTCAGATCAAAAAGTAAAATAGGAGGTGCACAATGGCAATATGTAATTAAGAATCTATGAAAGTTTCATGAAATTATCTTCAGTGGTATGAAAGGAGTTGCGGATAAGAGATGGATACACCAAAGCGTAACAGACGTACTTACGTACGGACTATGTACGGACGGACGGACAGACGGAGATACCAACTACTATATACCCTCCCACTTTTCAAGCGCGGGGTATAATAAAGTGGGCAGAAGTGTGTTTTGAATAACACATATTTTGCATTATCATGTTCTCCAGAATCAATCACATGCACAAGTTTATAATTTATAAGTCAGACGGCAATTTATTTACAATACTTATTCAAATATATTTTTAAAATGTATAATAATGCAAGTTTGCTCTCTTTCTTGGAAATTTAATGTTATAATGAGAATAATTTATGCTACATATATGTGGAAATATTCTCATGTTGGAATTTACATAACCCATCATTCCCTGTTTATGTATTGCAGTTGTGCAATACCCAAAGTAAAACAATTATGTCATTCTCTAAGAATTTATCTTGAATGTTCTGATTGTTCAGTTGTATAGAACATGGTTTAAAATATTGATTTAGATCAGAGCACTTGATTTCCAAAAAATGAATTTTCATGTACTGGACAGTAGTTTACACTTTTATTTTTCCGGAGTTACCTATGCCACCAATTAGAAACAGACACTATCCACACTGGGTAACACTTGCAGAAGCTATATAGGCCATTTGGAAACAACAGCCAGAAATCAGATATGCATGCACAGACAACACAGCAGTGGACAAACAAGTGCCCATTACCAAGGACATCGCCTCAACATATCAAAGTAGTGTGGCAACAGCCACTTTAAGTTTGGGTGGTGTTTTGTCCATGTTTCTGGGGACTGCTCTATCAACAAGTCCATTGAGTAAGATAATATCATGATCAAATGGTTTTCCACTTAATTCAATAGTTTCTGTAAAAACTATATATCCTTATTTTGAAATTATGGTTTTTAAGCTGTTGATTTTTTTGTCTTTGTTTAATACATAAGACAAACTTTTGTCAATTCTTCTTTAACAGGGGTTATAGATATGCAACAGGGCCCAAAATTTTAAATTCCAATCACTTTAACTCAAATGGTACTAAACCACCTTAAATATAACTCTCTAGAAATCAAAGAAGACTTAGGGTGATCCTTGGATCATTAATATTTTTTTAGATGGAAAAAAATAAAATGGTAAAATTACAGGTCATTTAAAAGATACACATTTTGTTGAAATCATATCTCCTATAATAGTTGTTCTACAAAATATGAAACAAAGGGTAAACACAGTTCACAGTTCATGAATCATCTCTATAATCAGTCTCTGTAGAGCTCAGTAGTCGTCAAGCGGGACCATACGTTTGACAAATACAAATTACTGTAGGATAAAGGTATCCTTGTGAGGATTTATTGTCATGCAGGATAAAATACATGCTTATTAACCCTGCAATTTCTATTGATGATGCATTTCAGCTTATGCATACGATTGTAGTATGCAATGTTGTTTCACTTAACATGGAACCATACATGTTAAGAAAGTTGCATCACTTGGTATATGGAATATCTCAGTTAACACTGGACAATATGTGTTAAGTAGTTACATCATGTTGTATATGGAATATTTTTTCTAAACACGGGACCATACGGGTTTAGAAAGTACATTGTGCATGGAATGTTTCACTAAACACGGGGCCATACGGGTTTAGAAAGTATATTGTGCATGGAATGTTTCACTAAACACGGGACCATACGGGTTTAGAAAGTACATTGTGCATGGAATGTTTCACTAAACACGGGACCATACGTGTTTAGTAGGTCACATGTTGTAAATGGAAGATTGTCTAAACACGGGACCATACGTATTAAGGAATTTATACCATTTTGTATGTGTTATATGTCACTGACCACGGGGCCATACGTGTTGAGGCAGTTTCATTACTTTAAATATACATAATATTTATTAATTTATTTGCAATGTCTCTTGCTCACATCAGTTACCAATAGTATGTCAGATAAGCGTTATACCATATGTATGACATCTGTTTTGTCAGATTCTGCTTATTAGCTACATTACAGCTTTCCTCTCTTTCAAGCAGATCTATTTAATTTTTCATGTTTTTAAAGAAAACTAGCAATGTCTCTCTATATTAGAAATAAGTCATTGTAATTCACAGTTTGCTATTAATTCTATCCAGGAAATAACATATTACCTGGTGTCTGGAAAGTATTTCCGAAACTTTTAACCATAAGAAAAAAACCGGCTGGGATAGGATACAATATTTACACATATAAATTATGCAATAGGCTGAGAACATCTTGTGTAGCAGGGGCCAAGCCAGAAGTTGTCTGTTGGTTCCTTTTTATGCAACATGATGTAAGATTGACATCTTGGTTGACTGGTCAGAAGTTGTCTGCAGTCATGAGACACATTTTATGCAGCATGGTGTATGTTTGACACCTTTGTTGACTGGTTCAGAAGTTGTCTGCAGTCAAGAGGCACATTTTGATGCAGAATGGTGTAAGTTTATCAACTTTTTTGACTGGTCAGAAGTTGTCTGCAGTCGACAAGGTCAGTGCTCATGATTATAAATTCCCATTTTGCTGTCTGGTTAATATTTACTACAGACAGGTGTTTTGTATACTTTTACAAATTATTTCATGTTTTGTCCTTTGTAATTTTTCACTCAGTCTTATTGGATGTTTCTTTTTCTTGTTCACAATAACTATTGTATTGTCTTTTGAACTGAGTATATGACAATATTTTTTAAAGATTTTTGAATGCTTTTGTATTAATCATCCTATTTGGAAGAAATTCTTCAAAATCACCTGTTAGTTTTGAATACGTTTAATATTTCACAGAGCCAAAATGAATTTGAACTACCTTATATATATTGGATTCCGAAACTTCATAAGAATCCTTACAAACAAAGATACATTGCAGGTTCCAGTAAATATTCAACCAAGCCTCTTTCGTTACTTCTCACTAAAATATTGACAGTAGTGAAGGAAAAACTTCAAGAGTACTGTGCAACTATATATTCAAGAAGTGGTGTAAATCAGATGTGGATACTTAAAAATTCTAAAGAACTTTTGGACAATCTGAAATCACAAGACTTTAAAAAAATCAACAGCTTAAAAACTTACGACTATTCAACTTTATACACAACGATTCCCCACGACAAATTAAAATCCAGGCTTTTTGATATCATTGACATCTGCTTCTTCAACAAAAATGAAACTTGTAAATTTACTTACCTCGTCATTGGTCATTTGAAAAAATATTTCGTTAAAACAGTTTCTGAATGCACACATAAGTACTCTGAAGTTGACATCAAGAAGATGCTTGAGTTTCTGATTGACAATATCTATGTGGTTTTTGGAGACCAGGTATTCCAACAATCTATTGGAATTCTCATGGGTACAAATTGCGCTCCGTTATTAGCAAACTTATTTTTATATTCATATGAAGCAGAATTGTTGCAAAATCTTATGGCTTAAAAGAAGAAAACACTTGCTGTGGCTTTCAACTCGACATTTAGATATATCGACGACGTATTGTCAATTAATAATGATAATTTCCATTCCTACGTCGATACGGTATATCCTGGTGAGCTTGAGATAAAAGATACCACAGAGTCCGACACTTCTGCTTCATACTTGGATATTTTACTTGAAAAAGACACTAATGGTAATCTAACAACCAAGCTATATGATAAACGTGATGACTTTAACTTTTCTATCGTCAACTTCCCATACTTATGCAGCAATAAACCTTCATCACCTGCATACGGAGTATATATATCTCAGTTGATTCGATACGCAAGAGCGTGCTCCACGTATGAACAATTTCTTAAACGAGGTAAATTATTGACAAGCAAGTTGATGAAACAAGAATATCAACAGTCTCGTTTAAAGTCATCATTTCGTAAATTTTATGGTCGATACAATGACCTTGTCAGCAAATAAAATTTATCATTGAGTCAAATGCTGACTGACGTTTTTCATACCAATTGTTAGTCCATTATTTATACACTGAATTGACGACGAATTTTTTCCGTTATTTCCTGATCATGACATCGAGCACACGGCGGGTGTGACCGGTCGGCAGGGGATGCTCACTCCTCCATGGCACCTGATCCCACCTCTGATGTTTTGGAGGTCTGTGTTTGCTCTGCTCTGATTTTGTATATTGTTTAATTGACGTTGAGGTTGAATACTGTTCGTTAACTCCATATCCTTCATTAAGGAGTTTTGCGTCTCCTGCCAAGACGCCTTTGGCTGAGTGGATCCAATCTCTGATTGGATTGTGGCTGTTTGTTATTTTGTTTACTCACCTTTTTTGATGGCAGGCATCAATTTAGAGCAATTTGTATATGTCTTCTAAACTTATGATGTTTATAGGGGGGTCAACTTAAAATGCATGTATATTGTACTTTGTGAAAGATAACAGGGTTTGAATTATTATTCTAGTCTAGTTGACCCCCCTTTTGCCTATGTACATCATGTTACAATGTCATTATGATGCTGGGGGTCAGATTGTGTAATATTTTGACTAAGATGTGTAATACTCTATATTTGGGTCCTCCTTTTTCTGACCCCTATTTTGTTAACTATGCTTTACTTTTCCGTCATTTACTTTAATAAATGACATATTCCACTTCAACATGATGTTATTTGTTTTTGCCTGTTTGATCAAAAAACAAGCTCAGTCGTTTGGCAGGAGAACTTAGGAACATAAAGACTTATTAAATGATGACTTTACTTCATATACTGTATCAAATGGTGTTTTCATGCATTTACATACTCTAAAAAAGTACAAGAAGAGGTAGAAATTCAAGTGTATTTTTAATAATTTATAAAGCATAGATTTGCTTTCTTCTACGTCCCTTAACGCATCCGTCGTACTCCACCCTAAATTGAAATTAAAAGTTGTAAAAGAAACTTCATTTTATTGGGCAAACAAATGTATTATATTCTGTAAGCAAATTTAGATGATATGGATAAAGCTGAGCTGAAAAGAATGAGAAATATAGTACAACATTTATAATTCTTTAGTTCCTAATAAATTAGATATAGTGCATATTTTTGAAATAGTTTTTTTTTCTAAAAGTTATATAAAAGGGTAAATAAATTGTATCATTACCGATGATGTGATATTCCACCAATTCCACATACGTTTGCACGGTTTCAACATCGACACTGCTTTCAATTTCTGTAAACTTGCCACAAACTCAAATACTTCTATCCGACCGTCGTCTACAGATACAATAAAAACAAGAATGAATAATATTAATAAATAAAGTAGAAAATATAAGTGCATGTTACTGTCTTTGTGTCAAGTTTATTTTGGCTCCAGTATCTGAAGTGTAATTCTATCAATCTCATTGCATGAGATATAAAGATAACTGACAGTAATCAAGCTCAAAAGTTTATTAAAATATTATAAAGGAGAACAAAGCAAACACAAACTTTACAAAAAATCAGAAGAGGAATCATTGTGCAACAAATTTTAATTGTTATTCATTTGAATATTCCGTATTTAAAAAAAAATACTAGTAGTTATTTATATTCATCTGTTTGAACTGTTGAGAATTGGAATACATCCACCATAGAATTGAATAATTATTTCAAGTACCATTTCCATCCATGATATGGAAAACGTTCTCGCTTTGGAAAGCGCTGTAACCCTGGTCGATGGAGTACTGCAGAAACTCACTTTCTAGGATACTCCCATCATGATTCCTGTCATAAATGGTAAAATCACAAGCATATTCCTTTGGAGATTCTGTAGTCTAAAAATGAATTTGAAAATTTAGCCCT